ATGAGAAGAGAGAGCGTAAGGAGGGGGAGTACCAAAGAGGGCAAGGTCGGAGCTAACCTGAACCAGTATAGCGTTACCTTAGTGGAGCTGTTTGGAGGGCTGGGGGCAGGCTTAGCGGCGGCACTGGAAGCAGGGCTGAAGGTGAAAAGATGGGTGTATGTGGAAATAGACCCGGAGGTGAGGAGGATGGCTTGGAAGCATGCACAGATACTGCAGCAGCGGTACCCAGCTCAATTGGCGAAGGAAGTGATACGGGAGGCCATGCAGAATGAGAAGTGGGAGGTGGGACAGCTTACCAAGGAAGACGTGAACCGCTGGGGAAAGGTGGACCTGTTGGTAGCAGGGTGGGAGTGCCAGGGTACTTCCCGAGCGGGGAAGGGAAGAGGAATGCAGGATGACCGCACGGCGATGGTGACAACACTGCTGACGATTATGAGGTGGGCGAGAGAATCTGGCGGGGAATATGCGTACATCCTAGAACATGTGGATATGAGGAGTGATAGCAGGGAGCCGGTCCGAGCCGTACGCGAACTGGTGGAAGCAGAATTGGGAAGGGGAGTGAGTTGTGACGGGGCACAGCTGGGGGCAAGGTGTCATAGAGTGCGGCAGTACTGGCAGAACGTCCTGCCAGAAGGAGAACTGAGGGCGAGATTAGCAAGGGTGGAGAGAGATGAGAGCCGAATCGTGGAAGACATTCTGGAACCAGGGAGAGTGGCCGCCCCAGTGGTAAAGCCAGATCATCCGCGACAGTATCAGTGTAACCGAGTGGGGGAAGCGAGGAGGGCCTGGCCGACACTGGTGGCCTATGCAAAGGCACGGGGATTTGTCGAAGTGGAAGGGACTCCAGGTCCAGGGATGGTGTATGATCACCGTAAGAAAAGATGGGAGGAGCCGACTGCTTTGGAGAGGGAATTAGCCATGGGGTACCTGCCGGGGGCAACTGCAGCAGATGGAGTAGGGGAGGAGGTGCGCAAAGCTGCCTTGGGCCGAGCCATAGACCAGCACTCACTGCGATGGCTAATTAGTGAGATGAGAAAGGGGCCAGCCGAGAAAAAGGGAAAGACGGAAGAGGAGAAGTGCAGGGGCAGCAAGCAGGCTGCTTACGCCGCTGTCAGCAAGCTCACAGACGAGAAGGAGATCAAAACTGCACCACCAGTAGGGACGGAAGCAGAGCCGGGCAAAACCTGGGAGCTGGGGGCAGGTATAGGGGAGCAAGCAGCCGAAGCAATCAGGGAGGTGTTGCAGCAGCATAGGGGCACCTTCGCCTATAACCTGCAGGAATTGGGGAGATACAAGGGGAGAGAGCTGGAGCTGAACCTCACGACTGAGCTACCTACATACCAACGCAGGAGGCGAATGAATGCGGAGGATGCAGCCATCTGCAAGGAGAAATGTGAGGAGTTGCTAGCTGCAGGGATTATTCGCCCGTCAGAATCAAGTTACGCGACGGCCACGGTGGTGGCTGCTAGGAAGGACATCACGGGAAAGATTCTAGCGAAGCGGATGTGCGGGGATTTTCGGGAGCTGAACAAGATTACAAGCCCAGACAGATACCCTATGACGACTGCTGAAGACATTTTCGACCGGCTGGAAGGGGCCACCGTCTTTACCACCTTGGACCTGCGGCAGGGCTTCAATCAAATAGGCATTAGAGAAGCAGATAAACGGAAAACAGCATTTCACGGGGTGGACGGTTTGTATGAGTACAACGTTATGCCTTTCGGGCTTCGTAACGCACCAGCAGTGTTCCAGAGAGCCATGGATCAAGTGCTGAAGGGGGTTCCAGCCGCAGCATGCTACATTGATGACGTGTTGATTTACAGCAGCAGCAAAGAACAGCATGTGCAAGATCTGAAGCAGACTCTGGAGGCAATAGCAGCTGCGGGGCTGACGTGTCACCCAGATAAGTGTAAGATAGCGAGGCACACGGTGGCTTACCTGGGGTTTGAAGTGAAGGGCGGTCGGCTGGCCATACAAGAGGCAAAGGTTAAGGTGCTGGAGAACCTGGCAGCGCCAAAGGATAAGACAGGGCTGCGGGCGTTACTCGGCTTCCTGAATTATTACAGGAAGTTTGTGTCAAACTTCAGTCGCCGTGCCTACGTGCTGAACCAGCTGCTGAGGGAAGGGAAGAGCTGGCAATGGGGAGAGGTGGAGGAGGCAGCAAGGCAGGACTTGCTCGAAGCAGTTAGGACAGGGACCTTACTGCAGATACCGAGGGCAGAAGCGCCTTTCATCCTGTACACGGACTGGAGCAGTACGGGAATGGGAGCGGTGCTCTGCCAAGAAATCGAGGGAGAGGAAAGAGTGATAGCCTTTGCCAGCCGAAGCTGCAGCCCATCCGAGGCTAACTACTGCTCATACGAGGGAGAGGGCCTGACGGCAGTGTGGGGAATCACGCATTTCAAGGTATACCTGCAGGGCCGGCACTTCACATTAGTGACTGATCATCAGCCACTGCTATGGTTGATGACTAATCAAGAGCTGACGGGAAGAAACGCTCGATGGGCTATCAAGTTGTTGGGATTTGACTTTGAGATCCGGCACCGACCGGGTAAAACACTGCAGCATGCAGATGGGCTGTCAAGGAACCCACCACCGATGCAGCCGGTAGCGCAGCTGGCGGCCTTTGCCCACACCGTGGCCGTAAGCTGGGGGCAGGAGAAGGGAGAGAAGCGGTTAGCAGATATATGGGAGGACGAGGAGACCATGAGCTGGATCAAAGGGGAGCCACTGGAGGAGGAAGGCGTAAGTGAGAGAGCAAGAGCCAGAGGGCAGCATTACAGATGGTTTCAGGAGCAGCTGCAGCTGAGGACCAGCGAAGGATGGAGGGTAGTGCCGCAGCCGCAAGAGAGGAACAGGATCATGGGGAAGGTGCATGCGAAGCTGGGACATTACGGCATCACCAGGACACGGCAGCTGCTGAGCACCATGTACTGGTGGGCAAGCATGGGGAAGGATGTGGCAGGACTGGTAGCCAGCTGCGAGGCTTGTCAAAGGAATAAAGCAAGGCTGGAAAAGGAGAGGGAGGAGCTGCACTCACTACCGATTCGGGGGTTAGGTTACAGGTGGTCGCTGGACCTGGCAGGAGAGTTACCATTATCAAAAGGAGGGAAGCAGTACATCCTGATCATGGTTGAGCACACGAGCAAATGGGTGGAGGCGCGAGCATTACCAAGCAAGAGTAGCGCACTGATAGCGGACGCATTCGAGGAGTTAGTACTGACCAGGTACGGTGCATGTGGGGAGGTGCTTACCGATCAAGGGACAGAATTTCAAGGGAGCTTTGATGAGCTGCTAGAGGAGATGGGCATTACGCATCGTGTCACCTCAAGGTATCACCCTCAATCGGACGGGCTGACAGAGAGGCTCATACAAACCGTGAAGAAAGGACTTCGGGCCTATGGAGAGACACACAAGAGGAGTTGGGACAGGGATCTCTGGTGGGTGCTTGCGGGATACCGGTTTGCGAAGCAGGCAGCGCTGAAGCATCTGTCCCCGTATCATCTACTGTACGGACGGGACCCGGTGCTACCTGTGGATGCACCGAAGCTGCTCTCGGGCGACGATTGAAGCGGACGAGCCGAGCCTGTGGGCGGGATTAGCGGAGAAGAGGGCGAGGTATCTGAAAGAGCTGACTCCAGCTGCCTTGGATAATCTACACGTGGCGCAGCTGAGGGATGCAAGGCGGTACCAGCAGCGCAAAGCAGGAGGGATGGGAGGAAAGAGTCACCAAGTGGAAGCGGGGCAGGAGGTGTACCTGCGCAGGGCTAAGCGAGATACGCTGGACTTAGCTGTGGGACCGGAGCGATGGAGGGTGAAAGAGGTAAGGGAGTCGGGGGTGCTAGTGCTGGAGGATGATCGAGGGGAGTACCTGAAGGAGCATATCACCAACGTGGCCAGGGCGGGAAGGGAGAAGCCTCAGGCATTGGATCCCGTGTCTGGAGCAGCTCGGGTGCGTGCTCAGTCACGGGAGGGGGCAGGGAAGCCTGAGATACGAGGAGGGGATCAGAACAGAGTGATTACATACGCCAGGAGGAAGAAGGGATGAGCCGGTCACCTGGATGAGAGGTGGAGGGAGAGGGAGTGAGGAAGTCAGGCAGGGATGCAAGGGAGAGTGAGAAGGAAGGGACAGCAGAGGGGATTCACGACAGCTGTCGCGTGATTAACACTTAGCTGGCAACTAAGTGTGAATTACACAGCAGCCAAGGTGAGGTGTACTATAGTTTACTGCTTTTTGCATTTTACTTTGTTTGCTCTTTTGGAATGTTACTGTACTATACAGAGTCGAGCTGCTGAGGATTTCGAGGTGGTTAGGGGGGAGGTTGGTGGCGAATTCGATTCCAGCCAGCCTGGGAATTCAATTCGCCATTCACCAGGCTGGAAGGCGGTGCATGCCTAGTGGGCCGAGTGGGACCCAGCTAGCACCTTGAAGCCTACGCGATCAGCTCGGCTGACTCGCGCTTAGGAGTAGAGGTAGCTTGCGGGACAAGGCACCTAGGCAGGAGGGGATGTAGACTGGGGTAGCGCTCAGACTCGTTGCTTTTTGCTTGTATGTTTCTCGTTTACTGCAATTGTGATTTCCTAAACCACGGGGAACTAGCAGTAGAGAGGAGCTGAAGCAAATCGGCGGAGCCCTTGCGAGGGAGTTAAGTCTTGTTTCGGGAAGCCTGAGATACGAGGAGGGGATCAGAACAGAGTGATTACATACGCCAGGAGGAAGAAGGGATGAGCCGGTCACCTGGATGAGAGGTGGAGGGAGAGGGAGTGAGGAAGTCAGGCAGGGATGCAAGGGAGAGTGAGAAGGAAGGGACAGCAGAGGGGATTCACGACACGTGTCTCACTCACCAGAGCGCTGTGAGCAGAGCCAGCAGGTCACTGGCACGACCCATCAGGCACCACAGGTGTGGCGCGGTGCAGAGCTGTGCTGTGCGGTGATGTGCGTTACACCGACTCACCAGCAGGCAGCCCCAAAGGAGAGCGCTGTGAGCAGAGCCAGCAGGTCACTGGCACGACCCATCAAACATGAGGATGACTTGAGCTGACCCGGTGACCATGGCGCCTTGCCAAGGGATGCCATCGCAAGGTGTGGCATGGGAAGGGGCGGAATGGGGAGCAGCCTGGGACGGGGCAGCATGGGATGGGGTGGCATGGGACGGGGTAGCATGGGATGGGGTGGCATGGGACGGGGTAGCATGGGATGGGGTGGCATGGGATGGGGTGGCATGGGATGGGGTGGCATGGGATGGGGTGGCATGGGATGGGGTGGCATGAGATGGGGCGGCATGGGAAGGGGCGGCATGGGAACGGGCGGCATGGGCATGGCGGCATGGGACGGGGTGGGGCGGCATGAGGAGGGGCGGTGGAGAAAGGGGCGGGCAAGGAAAGGGCGGCATGAGAAGGGCATGGGAAGCTGTCACCGCATGTGATAGTCCTTGCAGGTGACATGGGCGACATGTTTGCAGGAGAGAACAAATTGAGACCTATCGGCAGCTAGGCAGCCTGTTGTGCCATGCCTATCAGCCTTGGTAGACACAGCAGCACCCAGCAGCACCCGGCAGCACCCGCCAGCACCCAGCAGCACCGAGCTGCACCCAGCAGCACCCACAGCAGCACATACCCGCTGCAGTTGAGCCCGTATGAGTCAGTGATGGCGGTGGCCCGCGCACTGGCTGCTGCAAGCACCACGAGTGTGAAGAACTGCAGAGGGACGAACAGGGGGGCCAGTGGGAGCAGGAGAGGAAGTTGAGCCGCGTTGTAATGAGTCATGGTGGCCCGTGAACGGACTGCTGTAATCATGAGAGACGAGCACCATGAGTGTAAAGAACTGTGGAGGGACGAGCAGGGAGGAGGCATTGGGAGCAGGCATAGCAGTATAGTATAGCATTAGAGGACTCATGCATGTGACCCGTGGGACTCATGTGAAATCTAGATGCACGCATGGACTCATGCATGTGACCCGTGGGACTCATGTGAAATCTAGATGCACGCATGGACTCATGCATGTGACCCGTGGGACTCATGTGAAATCTAGATGCACGCATGGACTCATGCATGTGACCCGTGGGACTCATGTGAAATCTAGATGCACGCATGGACTCACGCATGTGACCCGTGAGACTTTCAAAAGGACTCACGTTGCTTTCGACGACCTGCAGCAGCAGGTTCAAGCCACCTGGTCGTTTGGAGGTAAAACGTAGCAGAAAGTTTTATCTCGTAGACCTTTCTTTGGAGCATATCTTGAGAACCAACTCGTGTAAATCTAGACTCGAGTCGACTCATCTTGAACTATTGCATGCATGGACTCACGTTGCTTTCAATGACCTGCAGCAGCAGGTTCACCCTGGTCGTGTGGAGGTAGGCGAAGCAGGAGGTGTGGATGTAACACAGTAACATGGCGCTCGAAAACAACCCTGCCATTCCTAGGGTGAGGTTGAGAAGAAGCGTGGGCGCCTGGCTCATTCGGTCGTCCAGCTTCAGTGACAGCCTGATGCGGACAGGTGAGGAGGGGTAAAGAGGGGTGAGGGGCGATGAGGAGGCGTGTGGAGGTAGACGAAGCAGGAGGTGTGGATGTAACACAGTAACATGCTCGCGAAGAGTCCCGCCATGCCCAGGGTGAGGTTGAGCAGAAGCGTTGGCGCCTGGCTCATTCGGTGGTCCAGCTTTACTGACAGCCTGATGGGGACGGATGAGGAGGGGTGCAGCGGGGTGAAGAGGGGTGAGGAGGGGTGAGGAGGGGTGGAGGAGGGGTGTGGAGGTGTGGGGAGGAATGAGGTGTGAAGAGGTGTGAGGAGGTGTGAGGAGGTGTGAAGAGATAGGTGGGTGAGGTGCGGGAATGATGGAGTATTCACCCATGTGGACAGGGCGAGCAGCAGCGGGCGTCTGGTTCAAGAATCTGAGACGTCTCAGATTCTCAGAACGGTAATTGAGCTTCATGGGAAATTTGATGGGAACAGACGGGTGGGTGAGCAGCAGATGCAGGCAGAGATGAGCGGGGGTCAGTCATGTAGACTGGGAAAGAAAACTGAAGCACAGACTGAAGCTCAATCTGAAGTACAGACTGAAGCACAGGCTGAAGCACAGAACCTTGGTCCTAAGTCAATAAAAACGGGAACTCAGAGAAATTACCGCAATAAGAACGTGGATTACCCAACTATGTGATTTTGACGGAGGTAACAGGCGAATTTAACTTGAAAGGGTGATGATGGTACAGTGAGGAGGAGAGGAAACAGTAAGCCATGAGAAACCAGGTTAAAAGACTTTTGAGTCAGGGTCCGAAGTCTTCACCCTATGGAGCCGACCGCGAACGCGATTTCCGCGATTCGTAAGCTGACGGGAATGATCTTCGATGGCGGATCCATGACGACGCGTCTCGCGTTTGTTAACGGAAATGACGCCGATGACGATGCGTCTTGCGTTTGGGAACAATGCCTTCACGCTGCGCCGTCTTCTTCCTGACGCGGTCCACTTTTCCTGACGTTCCGTAGCCTGCTCCAGAAAATAATCCCCCTCCCTTTGAAACTCACGCTGCGATTCAGAATGCATTCATTGGCCAAAGCAAGCGTCTAGTAACAGTTGGTTCCAGCGCCGTAGTTCTGTGTTTATAAGTTGCCTTCGACCAATGTCAGTCTTAAATCGGAGCTCTCAAGTGGCGACTTTTTTGAGGCGCCTCAGAAGTGGTTCCAGCGCCGTAATCTGGTGCTTAACAAATGTTTGCGACCAATGTCAGTCTCCAATCAGAGCCCTCGGGTGGCGACCGTGATGTCATGCTGCATGGATGAAGCCGTACGAAGTTACTCGAAGTCGCACGACGTCGCATGAAACAAGACCCAAATGGCCCATAAGGGAGCTAAGAATATGTCATCTTGTCGAGCTGTTTGAGCCGCTGGGAGATACAGTGGATTCCGGTAAATACGAAATTCCCGGTAAAAATTGGTAGAAATCGGTTTAAATCGCGGAGTACTCGTGGGTACGGGGGGGAATGACCCTGGAAACACAGTTGAACGGGAAGCTCGGTGCAAACGAAACCACCACGGAGCTATTACTGTGGAAGGAGAGTGTGCGGCTACCATGGCGGCCATTTCAAGTTGCTTGCCCCACAGGGCTTGTGCGCGAGCAGCGAGACTCAAGAGCTAGGACGAAGTACGCGAATGCATTATACCTGGCCTGAGCGCGAAAAGTGCAGAGGGATGATTGGTGCAATACGGCCAGTGTATGAGAAGGTTCAAGCAGAATCTGAATTATAGGAGGCTCAGGAATAACATACGCTTTACAAGCGGGAGGGGTGGTGGTGAGGGAATCTGGCAAAGCCGAGGGATGGGGAATGGAGAATACGTGATACGGTGCGCTACGGTTCAGTACGGAAATTCTGCGACCTTTTCTTATTTACATTACGGTAGAATTGTGGTGCGGCTGATGGTTGGTTTGAAATGTGGGGATTTGGATCAACCTGTGTGGAATTTGTTGCCAGATTATCCTACTAGAAGGTGGCAAAATACTTTCTACCGGTATTAGATATGCCAAAAACCTGATACGGTATGATGGGCATCAGGATTTGCCAGTATCATTTACCAATAGTACGAGCTATGGAGGCATTAAGAGACTTCATTCAGCTGCAATCTTGGTTGATGCAGTGCCAAACATGGGTAAAATAACTATGCACAGACAAAAAGCACCAAGGCATATACAGACTGGCAGGCGCATGCCAGATATATCCTAAGCAAATACTGAACCCACTATACAGATGAATGGCTGAGGAAAAATGGTGAAGCAGCTTCGAGCTTTAACAGCAATTGTCTGCCGTCACCTCAAGAAGTTAGTCTCGCGATGCCTGGAAAAAATCGCGGACGTCCATTCAGCGTGAACCTAGATCGTGTGAGCATTAACTAGCAATCTTGCTGAGCGTAGCCGTCAGCGTCAAAACCTGAGGAAATAGGGGTAAAAGGGGAGCCTGAGTACCGCTATTCACGATCAATGAGGAGCACGAGGGTCGCTTCGGCGAACATACTGGTGTCAACGGTAGTAAGCCTTCAAAATCAACTTACTGTGTATTTGTTGGAGGCCAGCAGCAACCACCACCACCACGGCGCACCATGACGAGAACGCGATGGCTCCCACAGCAGCCACGCACTTAACGAGCACAACCCCTGGAACAACGCCTCCTAACACCATTGCTCCGACATCCCACATCTGACCGGATTCGAAGACCGAGCTCTTCTTGCTCGTGCTAAAAGGCTGGAGTGTCAAAACTGGCTCCATTCTGGCAGGCGTGATATAACTCTGTAGAAGAAAACAAAAGGTAAGCAACCGTAACGGAATGGGAGTATTGTACGTGTCAGCACTCTTCAAAACCTAATCGGGCCGCTGCCATTGGAAGTCGTCAGATCTGTTTAACTTCGGACCTATCCAATTGTGAGACAGTTCGTAAGTAAAGAACGAGTCTCCGACTTGACAGGTTGGGAAACTCAGCTGTCGGCTTGCGGAAACCGATCAATGGTTCGCCTGGAGATGAAGGTCGTGCGGCGGATTGCTCGTGAGGCGAATTGCTCTAATCTGTGTGACTGAGAGAAGTGAGGTGTTGGATGAAGCTGATGTGTGTGTAAGCGAGTGTGTTATCCCTTACGTAACAAGGAGAGCTGCCTGTCACTGAAAGGCTCGGTACGGTGGGACACGGTACGGTGTATTTTTGTGTGGTGGCGTACGAAAGCCTAATGATCCCACGGCCCAGCCTACGAAAATGCTGGAAACGCGGCGCGGGTCTGGGGGTGGTGTTAGTGGGCTGCAGTCAAATGTGTGTGACACGTGACGCGACACGGTTGTGTGACCGCGCAGATGTCACGGCTCGGTTCTTCCTGAATTACCGGCGCATTTTCAGTAACTCAAGCTAAACTGTCAGCATCACCTGCCAACACACTTTTGGATGGAGTCGTCAAGCATTTGAGAAGCGCCAACTGGATCATTCATACTTCACCACATACAGCAGGAGCCACGTCAATCATGACTATTGTGACGTGCTGTTACCAGTGTGATGAGACGAGCCAAGGGCTGGCTGCACCATGCCCGTCACGTGCAAATGACCCCACTATTAGAATAGGAGCCTCATCAGTATAGAAGGCTGATGTGTGGGGACGAGATTTTCACAAGATCATTCATTTCCATCCAAAGCTCTAAGAGCAAGGCATCAATCATGCTGCCTCTCTCCTTTTATGGTCTGTAAGTAAACGGCATGTCCTTCGGGCCTAGGCCCCTAATCCGGTGCCTTTGCCGACCAATGATAAACCGCCATGTGTCATATTCATCTGCAGGCTCAAGGTCAACGGGTTGAGGCACTCTCCAGCCAATGGGGTACATGTGTTGCCGGTTTGCCTCCACGTGAAGGTGCCACACCAGCACTTGTGTGCATCCATTAGCTAATGGCTCCAAATAACTCGCATCTGGAACCAGTCGGCTTAAAAACGTGGCTTCCAGTTGGCTGCTTGTACACGCCATGTCGGCAAATCACATTCAGTATAAGAAACACAGGCATTACCACGCACATAAAGTGATAAGGTACCAGGGTTAGGATCAAGTCGTCAAAATGTGGGGTTAGGATCAAGTCGTCAAAATGTGGCACTAATGGCATGTGGAGGAGTCACTTGGATTGGGAAACACATATGTGGCTTGTGGAACAGGCTAGACAAGTATCTGTGCAGGATGCAGCAAGCAATGGCAGACACGGAAGGGCCATGCTCCAAACAGTTGAGAAGCCGCAGCAAGGGTGGCTGGGAGAAAGAAACGGGCAAAATTGCTTCAATTGAGAAAAGGCAGCGGGAACAAACGGAGTCGTCGCAGATGGGAGATGGGAGAGGGGAGAGGGGAGAGGGGAGAGGGGAGAGGGGAGAGGGGAGAGAGGAATGGGAGAGGGAGAGGGCAGAGAGACGGAGAGGGAGAGGGGGACGGCAGCAAGTGGGCTGGAAGAGGGCTGGGAGTGGGTTTTTGAGGTGCCTTAAAAATCGGCTGGGAGAGGGCTGGGAGAGGGCAATGATCATGCATTAGTCGAGTGGGAGACTGACCCTTGCCAGCTGGCTTCGAATCGCAGCGGGTGGCGTGGGTAGCCCGGCAGGTCTGTGCGGTTCTGCCAGAGCAGCTCAGAGCTGGGAAGACCATGGGGGGAAGAGGGAAAGAAGGGGGGGATGAGGGCGGGGGGGGGAGTAGCATAAAGGAAAAGGTGTGCACAGGGTGGTGTGGGTGGGTAGCCCTGCATGTCTGTGCGGTTCTGCCAGAGCAGCTCCGAGCTGGGAGAGGGGGGGTGAAAGGGGGAGGGGGAAGGTGGTGGGAATGAGGAAAGGAGCGGTTCTGCCAGAGCAGCTCCGAGCTGCATGCAGGGTAGAAGTAGGGAGCAACGAGCACAGTGGAAGTGGTTGGGGGGGTGGTGGTGAAAGGGGGTGGGAGGGGGAGTGTCTTACTCCATACGTGAATACATGCATGCATGCATGCACCCGCGCGTGCGCCTGGCTTCCTCCCTCCCCCCTTCCCTCCCTCCCCCCTTCCCTCCCTCCCCCCTTCCCTCCCTCCCCCCTTCCCTCCCTCCCCCCTTCCCTCCCTCCCCCCTTCCCTCCCTCCCCCCTTCCTCCCTCCCCCCTTCCCTCCCCCCCTTCCCTCCCTCCCCCCTTCCCTCCCTCCCCCCTTCCCTCCCTCCCCCCTTCCCTCCCTCCCCCCTTCCCTCCCTCCCCCCTTCCCTCCCTCCCCCCTTCCCTCCCTCCCCCCTTCCCTCCCTCCCCCCTTCCCTCCCTCCCCCCTTCCCTCCCTCCCCCCTTCCCTCCCTCCCCCCTTCCCTCCCTCCCCCCTTCCCTCCCTCCCCCCTTCCCTCCCTCCCCCCTTCCCTCCCTCCCCCCTTCCCTCCCTCCCCCCTTCCCTCCCTCCCCCCTTCCCTCCCTCCCCCCTTCCCTCCCTCCCCCCTTCCCTCCCTCCCCCCTTCCCTCCCTCCCCCCCTTCCCTCCCTCCCCCCTTCCCTCCCTCCCCCCTTCCCTCCCTCCCCCCTTCCCTCCCTCCCCCCTTCCCTCCCTCCCCCCTTCCCTCCCTCCCCCCTTCCCTCCCTCCCCCCTTCCCTCCCTCCCCCCTTCCCTCCCTCCCCCCTTCCCTCCCTCCCCCCTTCCCTCCCTCCCCCCTTCCCTCCCTCCCCCCCTTCCCTCCCTCCCCCCCCACCCCCTCCCCTTCCCCCTCCCATCCCCCCCCCTCCCCCCCCCTCCCTCTCCTCCCCCTCCCCATTAATTTCCCCCCTCCCTCACCCTCAGAACACATGTGCGCACACACGCGCACACACGCTCACACACGCTCACACACGCTCACACACGCGCACACACGCTCACACACGCTCAGTCACGCTCATTCACGCTCACACACACGCACAGACACTCACACACATGCACACACGTTCACACACGCTCTATACCCACATTAGATTTCCATTTGGCATTGGAAATGACACCACTCAAACGCCTCTCTCCCATCCACCTCCCCCCCCCCATTACATCCCCATTACAAGCAGACTCGCAAACCCCCCCTATGTCCACATTGAATTTCCGCTTGGCCTTTGAGATAAACCACTCAAACGTCTCCCACCCACTCATACACCTGCAAAATCCCTGTCATCCATCCCCATTACAAGCAGCTTCCCGACCATCCATGTATAAAGCTCACCGGAAGGCAAACCCTCCCATGCCAACATTGAATTTCCGCTTGGCCTTGGAGATGAACCACTCAAACGTCTCCCACCAACCCGTACACCTGCAGGCTCCCCCCCCCTCCCTCTCCCCATCCCCATCCATCCCCATTACAAGCAGCCTCTCTATCATTCATAAGACTCACCGGAAGGCAAATCCTCCCATGTCAACGTTGAAGTTCCGCCTGGCCTTTGAGATGAACCACTCAAACATCTAGAGACTCCCACTTTCCATTCAACCCCATGACAAGTAGCCCCCTCTACCATTAGAAAGGCTCACCGGAACGCAAACCCTCCCATGTCAACGTTGAATTTCCGCTTGGCCTTTGAGATGAACCACTCAAACATCTAGAGACTCCCACTTTCCATTCAACCCCATGACAAGTAACCCCCTCTACCATTAGAAAGGCTCACCGGAACGCAAATCCTCCCATGTCAACGTTGAATTTCCGCCTGGCCTTTGAGATGAACCACTCAAACGTCTCCCACCCGTACACCTGCAGGCCCCCGCTCTCCGTCCTCTTTACAAGCGGTCTCTCTACCATGGGCGTGTGGTGTATATGCCGGTTCCGCCTCGAGTATTCGTCCGGGTAGAGGAAGCCGACGGGGAACACACCCACGTTTTTTATGCTCTGAAACTCGAGAAACAGCTGGGTGTGGGAAAGCAAAAGGAGTCAATAGGTAAAAACACGAGAGAGAGAGAGAGAGAGAGAGAGAGAGAGAGAGAGAGAGAGAGAGAGAGAGAGAGAGAGAGAGAGAGAGAGAGAGAGAGAGAGAGAAAACTCTGGAACTCGATAAAGAACTGGGCCTGTGGGAAAGCAATGAGAAAATGATAGAAAAAGGCATGAGACAAACGTTTTGGATGCTGTGTAATGAACTTGACTCGAGACACACAAGAGTAGAACAGACATTCGTGAAGGGAATGTTGAAGCTGCGATCTACATACTTCGAGGTACAGGCCCTGGTTTATCACTTGAAAACAGGGTAGCACTGTCCCGTCGGAGAAACGAACAATCGATGCGGAAGGAAGGAGGGGGATGGGCGCAGAAATTTCCGCTTGGTTGTTTGTGTTCTGCGCAGAAATCTTCGCCTTTCCGCGGATGTGGGCCCCCCAAAGCGAACTCACTCACGAAATTGACTGCGCTCGTCAGCGGGGTACGAAGTCCTCGCACAGGTGTTTTGGGAAAGAAAACAATTCGCTCTTCAATCAACAAACGCGAAAGGGTGTGCACCTAGATTACCCCCCAAAACCCATTTTAGTATGTAGACCGCAGCTTTAAGAGCAGGGGTCCTCGGAAAAAAAAGGGGCGGTCAAATAGCATTTAACCGAACAGCAGAATAACGATGGAACTCTCAGCTTGAATTATCAACAAACGGAACGAAACAGGAAACATTGAGCAATAAGTAGAGATTGACGGTACCAGGGGAGGGTGAGAGTAATCACATTTCTAATGTGCTTGTAGTCATTCTCGGAAAAATACACACGAGTGAAAAACCTCCGCAACAGCCACTCACTTCAAATGGCAGTCACGGCGCATTACAGTCATTTCTCAGTACAGTCCTACCTGGGGAAGGTACGCAATGTCACCATCCATGAAGCAAACGACGCCCTGAATGCGCCTCTCCTCTTGAGACACGTGGCAGTACGATCACACTTCGCAGTACTACGAGTCAACCCCACCTGAGGGAGGTACGCATTGTCATCGTCCATGAAGTAAACGACGCCTTGAATGCGCCTCTCCTGAATGAAGTCGAGCGCGGTGTTGCGCTGCAGCACTGCCTTGTTCCACTTGGACGTCTCCACCTAATGGTGCATGGGATGGTGATGATGCATGCATGCACACAGTTAAATGATGAGCATGTGAGAATGGAAGCATCAGGAGATCGTTGACAATGCTGCAGCACTGCCTTGTTCCACTTGGACGTCTCCATCTGATGGTGAGTGCATGCAGTAAAAGGATGATAGGAATGGAATGGAATGGAATCAAATGATGGAAAGCTTCGAAGCTGCAGCACCGCCTTGTTCCACTTGGACGTCTCCATCTGATGAGTGCGTGCGGTGCATGGCATGGCATGGCATGATGATAGTCGAGCATGCAGGGATGAGGATCACAACTGTGTAATCACGACTATGAGGATGCTGATTGCGGCGCTGCTTTTGAGACGTCTCATCTCAAAAGCATGCAGGGATGAGGATCACAACTGTGTAATCACGACTATGAGGATGCTGTTGGTGGCGCTGCAGCACTGCCTTGTTGCACTTGGATGACTCCACCTGATGGTGCATGGTGAGTGCATGCAGTGAAATGAAGTGCTACAGACAACTCGCAGTGATGGTCTGTGCAACATTAGGGATCATGCAGCAACAATCAAGTCAAGAGCAACGCGTTCCGCTGCAGCACTGCCTTGCTCCAATTGGATGTGTTCACCTGATGATGCATGGAACGAAATGCGGAACGGAACAAAATGGAAAAGAACAATATGGAATGGAACAATGACGATGATGCATTTAGTTATTGATATAAGAGGTTGAAATTATATTATCAACAAAAACGGAACGTGTGTGTACATGCCCGCCCCCGCACCCCCCTTCTCCTCCTTCCCTCCCCTCCCCCCCACTTCCAAGGAAACAACATGTCCGAGAACAGAACAGAACAGAACAGAACAGAACAGAACCAAACAGAATCATAGCAGCTCAACCGCCTCTCACCCGGCGGGTCTCCAGGTGGACGTAGTTGATTCGCCGACAGCTGGCGTCACCAGCTGGCAGGCACGACCCCGCGTGCTGCTTCAGCAGCTCCGCCGTCTCCTCTGTCTTCCCGGGGAGGCATGAGGGAGGGTGGAGAGGGGTGGAGAGGGGTGGAGAGGGCTAAACGGGAGTTGAGAGGGTGGACAGGAGTCGACAGGGATGGAGAGGTGGAGCAACAAGAACGCTACTTTTAACCTTTAGCATCACACGAAAAGAGCGGCACCGCACTGCACACCTTGCTTGTCTGGAAACACCTTCAAAGTTTTTCTTCCAAGGATCAGTTCAGAGTAAACACAGTGCCTTCAAAGTGTTCTGAATTGACTCAAAACACAATCTAAAAGCGTTTCCCCCAGGGTCATATCGAGGACTGTATCTGAAAAAAGCGTTTTTAAGCGTTTCTCCCAGAGTCGTACTGCGGACTGCGCCTTAAAGCCAGGGTCTCACGTACTGCAAGTGTTTTGCAGTTGACAGTGCAAGTTTGTTTGTGATTGGTTGGCGAATTGTGAAGTTTGAAGAGGGGTGAAGCGAGGGGTAAAAAACAAATTCAAATCGCTAGGTGTAGCCGAACCTTCCAGGTTTGTAAATATGGTTCGGATCCGAACCTAAAGTGCCCCAGAATCGTCGAAAGTCTCACGTACTCAAAACTTGTGCAATTGCTTTTGAGGCACTGACGGGGGTAGGTTTCCAACCCAACCAAACAGAAATTCGCCTGCACTAACTAGGTAACCTAGCTTCAACTGCTTTGCGGTTGATGGCTCCTTTGCTTACTTGAGACCCTGGCTTTAAGCGGCGCGTTTTGAGTCGACTCAAAACGCGGTTCGGATGCAAGACTGTACCTTAAGCGGCGCCTCTATGACTATCCAGAGCACCAGCGGTCCCAGCGAGCGACTTTTGAGTCGACTCAACAGTCAAAGGGGTGACCGCACGACAAGGAGTGTACCTTAAGCGGCGCCTCTATGACAATCCAGAGCACCAAGGGACCCAGCGAGCGACTGCTGAGTCGACTCAACAGTCAAAGGGGTGACCGCACGACAAGGAGTGTACCTTAAGCGGCGCCTCTATGACAATCCAGAGCACCAAGGGACCCAGCGAGCGACTGCTGAGTCGACTCAACAGTCAAAGGGGTGACCGCACGACAAGGAGTGTACCTTAAGCGGCGCCTCTATGACAATCCAGAGCACCAAGGGACCCAGCGAGCGACTGCTGAGTCGACTCAACAGTCAAAGGGGTGACCGCACGACAAGGAGTGTACCTTAAGCGGCGCCTCTATGACAATCCAGAGCACCAAGGGACCCAGCGAGCGACTGCTGAGTCGACTCAACAGTCAAAGGGGTGACCGCACGACAAGGAGTGTACCTTAAGCGGCGCCTCTATGACAATCCAGAGCACCAAGGGACCCAGCGAGCGACTGCTGAGTCGACTCAACAGTCAAAGGGGTGACCGCACGACAAGGAGTGTACCTTAAGCGGCGCCTCTATGACAATCCAGAGCACCAAGGGACCCAGCGAGCGACTGCTGAGTCGACTCAACAGTCAAAGGGGTGACCGCACGACAAGGAGTGTACCTTAAGCGGCGCCTCTATGACAATCCAGAGCACCAAGGGACCCAGCGAGCGACTGCTGAGTCGACTCAACAGTCAAAGGGGTGACCGCACGACAAGGAGTGTACCTTAAGCGGCGCCTCTATGACAATCCAGAGCACCAAGGGACCCAGCGAGCGCAGATAGGCGGCCAGGCGGATGAAGTAAACCACCTGGTGGGGGGAGAAAGAGGGAGGAGGGGTAGGGGAAGCGGGGGGGGGGGGGGGGGAGTGGAAGGGGAGAGGGGAGTGGTAAGGGACGAGGGACACCAGCGGTCCCGCAGAGCGCAGAAAAGCAGCCAGGCGGATGAAGTAAACGACCTGGGAAGCGGAAGGGGAGAGGGGAGTGGTAAGGGGGAAGGACACCAAGGGTCACGTGTAGCGAGGTTGTTTTTGAGACGTCTCTTTTGAGTCGATCAAAAGTGAGACGTCTCAAAAACAACCTCGCTACACGTGGGAAGGACACCAAGGGTCACAGCGATCACAGATAGGCCGGGAGGCGGATGAAGTAGAGGACGTGGTGGGGGGGAGGAAGGGGGGACGGGAATGAAGGGAAAGGGGAAGGGAGAGGCGGAGGGGGGGAGAGAGGCGGCGAGACAAAAGAAGTACATCTCATCTCATCTTCGGACGTGGTGGGCGTGCGAAGGTGGTCTCTCATCTCATCTTCGGCTCGAGTGGAACGGGGCGCGCGGAGCGGGAAGAGAGGGGAGGGTGTGGTTTTGAGTCGACTCAAAATAAGAGAGGGGAGGGTGTGGGAGGTTCACGGCACCCACCTGCATGGGTGATTGCAGTGGAGGGTCTAGAGAATTCTCTAAAAGGGATTTCAGCCTCGCACCACACCCACCTGCATGGCGCGCGCGTGGTTGGGCGTGACAGCCAGCAGCAGCCACGTCTTTACTTGACAACGCAATCAATACTCGGCACAGAGTTTCCAAACAGCAGGATTGTTCTGAGGCGCCTTATAGTGAGACAGACAATTCCACCCACCTGCATGGCGCGCGCGTGGGTGGGCGTGACGGCGAGCAACGACCATTTAATCCCCTCGGGCTTCACCGCTCGCTGCAGCGCCAATACCGGGTCCTCTGTCGCGTCCACCTGGTTACCACTCTGGTTACCACTCGGGTTACTATCAGCTTCTTGTGTATTATCTTTGGCCGGAGGGGGACGGACTGCAATTCCAGAGATTTGAGAGCCGTTTTCTGGTGATCGGACGGCTGAGGATTGATCTGGTTGAGAGCTAATCGGAGTGGGTGGAACGGCTGCGATTGGTTGTGACTGTAACGAGGGCGTGCTGTGCAACGAGGTGGGGGAGGACGACGACGAGGAAGATGATGATGAGGAAGATGTGCTTGTATCGGAAGGGATATTAGTGGAGGAGGAGGGGAAAGAAGACGCGACTGGCGATGACGATGCAGGCCGCGGAGAATCTTCGCGTGATCGCTCGCCGAAACTCGTGAAGTTCGCGAATTCGTCGCTGGCAGGCGCGACGAGGTTCGTCGTGCGATTGACGAATCGGAGGCCCGAGAGGATCATCGCGCCGCCCAGAGCCACCAGCAGCAGCCGGATTCGCCCCACGCGACCTATCGCTGCCGGCCGGCTCGCGACTCGACCCAACGGTGCGGGATTCATGGCTGAAACACGCTCGAATGGGGTGGAACTGGCTCGGACTGTAATCTACACCTAAAATTGAATCAATACTTGCATGAGAACCGAGGAAAGACTAAATAGGTAAACTAGCGTAGTCAAAAAGGCACTAGCGGCGCGACGATCCATGGCCGGAACGACCTTCGGGTTGATTTATCAGTCATCTTGGGGTGCTTTTTAGAATTCTCAAAAACACCATGCGCCTCTCTGCTGTGGCTGGCCGAACACGCAGAGGAATAAAGCCCCTTTTGCTCGAATACCCTTGCGCCTTTGCCCGCAGCAATCAGGACGAGGAATCAGGAATGGATTAGATCGACGGATTACTTTCTCGATGCGAGAGACAAATTGGGATCAGAGAGACGGGATCGCGGGGCGAGCGACCCAGCAAGCACATCGGTGATACGACCGCGGTCGTGAGATCAGCTGAAGTGCGTGTGAGCTGAGCTGAATCAGATCAGCAAGCTACGGCTACCATGCCGCATGAGAATTCTCAGCCATGGCTTCTGAGGTGTTGGGCGGGCCTTGCTGCTTGACGAAGAACTTCGTGGTTACCTTGTCAGCGAGTTTTTTGGCTTGCGAAAACCTAAAAAGCTCCAGAATTACTCTTGGCGAACTAGCAGCAGATTCTTCTGCGAATTTCGCCACATCTGAAACGAAGTCCCCCACTAGAATCCTGTACTACACAGACGTTACACAGAACGTATTTGCACCGCTCTGAAACCTCTATCATCCATCGAGCCGTAATTAAACTACTCTCAAGCCATCCATTAACAAAGTACTCTGTATCGAGATGGAAGCTCCTTCATTTCACGATCACACCCAACGTCCCTCTCCATCCACTCCCTGTTCAGCGGCAGATTCGCGAATAGCGCTTGCTGATCTTTTCGCAGCAGACTTTGCGACGGAAACGAAGGAGCGGTCGTTGCTGAACCTGCTCGTCGACGTTGCGGGAGGATCATGGCGGCGGCGCTGCGAGAGTTGCAGCAGCAGCTGGAAGCAGAAGTGAACGCGCTTCGGTCCCTCGAGAAGGGTAAGCGCGACGATTTCGAATTCTCTGCTGGTCCTTCTAATCTTCGCGTAGCAATTCGGAAAAAAAAGAATCGGATCGCCGTTTTCCGGGTACTGTTTGAATCTCGACCGTAGATCAGCATTCTTATTTTCTGGGCAGGAAGATTCCCGTGGCTTGCTCTTGTCTTCTTCACAGACGACACGCGAAAGAAATGCGGCAAGATGCATCACAGCATACAGCTCCCTTCCGCCATCTTCTTCCCCCCATCTTCCCCCTCTCGCCCTTCCCCTCTCCCCCGTCCCTCTCTCCCCCGTTCGCCTTCCTTCCCCGCCAACCCTTGCGCTTTTCCGCCCTCCCCTGTCGCGTGCAGACAGCGCGCGGAACCACAAGGTGCGGCGGCAGTACAGCCTGCAGCTGAGAATTGACAAGACATTTCTAGCACCTCCCCTCTCCCCCACCCCACCCACTTCCTCCCTGCCCTCCCCTGCTCCCTCCCCCTCGTCCTCCCGCTCGTCTTCCCCTTCCCACGTGCAGACATAGCGCGCAATCACAAGGTGCGGCGGCAGTACAGCCTGCAGCTGAGAGTCAAGCAAACACTTCTAGTACCCGCCTTCCGCCCCCTTCCTTCTTCCCCCTCCCCCTCCCTATTCTCCCCCCTTCCCCTTCCTTTCCCCCCATGCCAGACATAGCGCGCAACCACGAGGTGCGGCGGCAGTACAGCCTGCAGCTGAGGATCAAAGAGGCACCTCTAGTCTAGCATATCCCTCTCCCTTCCCTTCCCTCCCCTTCCCTCTCCCCCTCCCCCTCCCCCTCCCCTTCCCCCTCCCCCTCCCCCTCCCCCTCCCCTTCGGCAGACATCACACGCAATCACAAGGTGCGGCGGCAGTACAGCCTGCAGCTGAACGAGAACGAGATGGTGCAGAAGGTGTGTGTGACTGTAGCGGAATGTGGTGTGGTAACAGTGGGAGGCGATTATAATGGGCGGTCATTGGAGAGTGTGGTACGTGTTGCGGCTGAGCGGTTTTGTACCGGGATGTGACGAGATGGTACAAAAGCGGTGACTGTTAGAAGCGAGAAAGGTCTGGGATTTTTTTTACGGTCTCGTTTCTTTGCTGCGTATGTGTTTCTTCCCGTTTGCTGCTACTTCGTTATAAGATTGGATCCTTACGGCTCAGCGATACTTGACTGGGATGTGACTAGATGGGGGGCAAAGGGGGTGACTGTGACGGAATGTGGTGGTGTTGGTTGGAACTGCAGCAGGATGTGATACCAGTGGGATGTGCTTACGGTTAAGGGCTATCATTGGGTGGTGGTGCAAGTCTGTGACTGTAACGGAATGTGGTATTGGGACTCTAGTGGAATGTGATAACGGTGGGGTGTGATTGTGTTGAAGGGCTATGATTGGGGTGGTGTTCACGACACGATATGGTATCAACCGTGCCCCGCATCTCACCTCCCCTTCCTCTCCACCTTTAACCATCCCTTCTCTCTGCTTCTCCCCTTCTGGAGTTGAATTCACTAGAGGAAGACGCCAGGGTGTTCAAGCTGATTGGCCCTGTGCTCGTGCCTCAAGCCTTGACACCCTTCAACCGCCCTTCGCCTCTCCACCGTCCCTTCTCTCTCCCTCTCCTCATCAGGAGCTGCTAGAGGAAGACGCCAGGGTGTTCAAGCTGATTGGCCCGGTGCTCGTGCCACAAGACCCTTCGAACCCCCCCATGGTTCAAGTCTTATTCTTCTTCCCTCTCCTTCCTCGCCAGGAGCTGGAGCTACTAGAGGAGGATGCGAAGGTGTTCAAGCTGATAGGCCCGGTGCTCGTGCCACAAGACCTTTCAGTTGTCCCTCGCCATTCCTCCCACTCTCCTCTTCTCCCTCTCCTCTCCAGGAGCTGGAGCTACTAGAGGAGGATGCGAAGGTGTTCAAGCTGATAGGCCCGGTGCTCGTGCCACAAGACCTGGCAGAGGCCCGGGCAAACGTGGGGAAGCGGCTGGAATACATCTCTAGTGAAGTGTGAGTGTGGGTGGATGGAGGGGGTAGGGGGGAACAGGGGGGGAGGGAGAAGGGGGGGAGGTGCTGTGCATGGCAGTTGCGTGAGAGGGAGCTCGTGCCGCAAGACCTGGTAAGACCTGGCGAACGTGGGGAAGCGGGTTGAATGTATCTACTCCGGTGGAGTATGAGTGTGTGAGTGGAGAGGGGGGTGCGGGCGGGAGGGGAACAGAGGGCGAGAAAGGGGGGAGGTGTGGGGAATTGGGTGGGTGAGGGGTGGAGGGTTGCTGTGGACGGAGTTTTAACGCAAGAGGGCACCATGGGGTGTTGACCATGCGTCTGTTGTTGACATGCCATGTGTTTATGCCATTTGACCATGCCATGTGACCATGCCATGTGTTTATGCCATTTGACCATGCCATGTGACCATGCCATGTGTTTATGCCATGTGACCATGCCATGTGACCATGCCATGTGTTTATGCCATGTGTTTATGCCATGTGACCATGCCATGTGTTTATGCCATGTGACCATGCCATGTGTTTATGCCATGTGACCATGCCATGTGTTTATGCCATGTGACCATGCCATGTGTTACTGACCTCCCATGTGTCTCGCCACCTGTGCTCTACAATATTCACGTGCATCAACGCGTAACTAAATACATTCACATGCATTTACACGTAACTGTATACATTCACATGCATTTACACGTAACTATATGCATTCACATGCATCAACACGTAACAAAATACATTCACATGGATCAACGCGTAACTAAAATACATTCACATGCTTCTACACGTGACTAGATACATTCACATGCATCAACAACGCGTAACTAAATACATTTACATGCATCTACAAGTAACTACATACATTTAAATGCATCTACATGTAACTACATACATTCGCATGCCTACATCCAAATACATTCCATTGCAGTAAGCGGCTGGAGGGGGCACTGAAGCAGCTAGAGCAGAAGCAAGCATCAAAACAGCAGGACGTGAGTTCCCCACAGTGCCCCACTTCCCCCTTCCACATATCCTCGTTATACACAGCACTCTTTATCCTTTCACTGCTCGGACTCAAGAGATTCTGTTGTTGTCATTTGCAAACCACATCAGTTTCTGCAGCAACCTTTCATTCTAATCTTTTGTACTCCATTTCTGTGTATCCCTCTAGCCCATCCTATCCTCTCCCCTTCTCTTCATTTCAGCAGCACGGCATTCCCCTCTCCCTGTAATCTTAAGGCTCCCACTCGTTCTTCTGCCCTCCTGCACCATCATTCCATAAACCCGGAAGCACATTTACTCCACAAACCTTCCCCACCCCCTCTCCCGTCCACCTCCCTCCTCCGTCCCCCGTCCCCCGTCCACAACATTTTTTGCAGATCATGCAAGCACAACGAAAGCTTCAAGCGTTCCATGCACAACGGAGGCAATAAGTCCCTAGGTCTGCATTCGTAGAACGAGAATGCAGTGTGTAGTGAATTCTTATGTGTGGTTGTCTTTTTACGCCTGTAGCCTCGCTATAAGGCAGCTTCACCTTTCGACTGCAACCTTGTCGTGTTCGCTCGGCCCTAGTAAAGAGTGGAGGCTTTTCCGCCGTCTGCTGCCTAAAACGATTGATACAGTATTGTTGGTTGATATACTTAATGTATTTCCTGTATGTGATAATTTCCGTAACAATGATTTTCCACGATCTTGTCAAAGTCCTGATTATCGAATCCCTGCGCAAGTTTGTGAGAACATATCAGGAGAATCTTTTGTTGGGCTAAGAAGCCCTTATTCTCTTTAGAGGCTAGGCTTGAAGCATTTGAAACAGCAGACGTCGTTAGGCATTCATGTATTTGTGATATGTACTGCTATAAAACGATGCTCTCCTTTTACCGAGTCGTTTCTCGCACGGGCAGAGACTACGTAGGGAAAATGTGGAAAGTTGTGTAGGTGAAACACTAGTCACTCTGATTGTGTGCATAAAGTTGTTATTGCTAAAGCGTCCTGTCCTTTCCCCACTGCTTCACGCTGTTCACGTGTCAAACTACTGTTGATTTGTACTGCACCCTCATTCTCGTTAGACTGGCATATGTTATACTTGCTGCAATCAGAAGTTGATCGTAGCCCAGGATCTACTCTGGAAGGTTCGCACGCAGTGAGGTAGTGTTGGTGGGCCCTTAACCTCAATAGCAGAGTGAATGTAAAATGCTTGAGATGAATAGAACATGCAGATACAGGGAGTATAAATATGAGTACAGGGAAGACGAAACGACCTAGCTAGCCATGTACTCTAAGGGGTACATTCCCTTATTCAAGAGTGCATCCCAACCGTTCGGCGCGTACAGTTTCGTAACTGTTCCCGCCAAAACCATCCTGCCTGCAGCTGTCCGATGCCGTTTGCTTCCGACGGTTCAGATGTGCTGTAACCGTCCGACTCTTCGATTCAATTCCAACCGTCTGACGCTTGCGTTCATTCCCGATATTGTGCGTTCCTTGCTGCGGTGAGGAGTGCTTAGTAATATCAGATATTACTATTCGTAACACCCCCCTTCACTCCTCGCCGTAGCTCGACTTGACCAGCTTGACCACGCCACTGAGTTCGGAGCAGTGCTGATACTGATGACGTGGCAGCCGCTTCGTAAGGAAATCTGCTGCCATGTCACCTGTCGGGCATTAGGTCAAGTTGACCTTTCCTTTGTCCACTTCGTCCTTCACGAAGAAGTACCGCAGCGCAATGTGCTTGGCGCGGTTAACGAAACCAGGCTTGTTCGCGATGCGAATCGCGCTCTGGTTGTCGCAGTGAAGGCGGAATGTGGGCGAAGCTGGAATTTTTGCCTCTTGTAGGAGTTCCTGCAGATAGAGGCCTTCGCGAAATGCTGCGGTTGCTGCGATGAATTCCGCTTCGGCTGATGACAGGGCAAACAACTCCTGCTTCTGTGAATTCCAGGAGATTGGTCCCGTAGGCTCGAGTCGGAACAGGAACCCAGTCATGGACCGTCGATTATCGGGATCTGCTGCGTGATCGGCGTCCACATAGCCGATGAGATTGAAGGATGGGGTTGGTGCAGTTGAGTAACGCAGCCCAATCTTGGGCGTTGAAACGAAGTATTGGAGGGCGCGCTGCAGGTCCAGGAGATTTTCAGCCGTTGGTTTGCGTGAGTACTGCGCCAGCTGACTTGCGATGTACGAGAGGTCTGGCCTGCAGGTGACAGAGGCGAAGAGGAGGCATCCCAACTGCTGCTGGTAAGTTTGAATCCCAGCAAGGGATAGGGCTTTGTTGTCGGGTTTGTGGTTCGGTCCGGGGGTTCGGTAGGGAGTTGAGAGAGGTGCAGGTGAAATGTTGAACCGCTTCCCTAACTCCTCTGCATACTCAGCCGCTGAAAGGTGAATGGCTTCAGGCGCGTAGGTGATGTTGAGGCCTAGGAACTGCTTCACCTCGTAGTTGCATGTGATGTCGACGCGCCCCGCCAGAGCCTTCTCGAACTGCAGGAGGAGCTCGTTGTTTGAGCCTGTGTAAAGCAGATCGTCGACGTACACAGTGAGGAGGATGTATTCGCCGCGGAAATCGCGGCGGTACATCCCTGGATCGTGTGGCATTTGCTTGAACCCGATTTCAAGCAGGATGTTGTGCAGGTACTGGTGCCACAGCCTCGGAGCCTGCTTGATGCAGTAGAGTGACTTGCGTAGCTGACATACGCGCGAGTCTCCTTCGCCGTAGGTGTGTGGCTGCTCCACGTAGATCACGGCGTCTACTAACGCGTACAGGAACGCGTTCTTCACGTTGATCTGACGAAGTGGCAGGTGCCTTGCAGCTGCGATGGCGAGCAGGATGCGGACGGAGGTGTGGCGGCTGACTGGGGCGAACGTCTGGTCGAAGTCGATCCCATGCCTCTGGTCATAGCCGCGAACCACCCATCGCGCCTTGAAGCGCTCGATCGTCCCATCCGCTGCAGTTTTTACGCGGAAAACCCACTTCCCCGAGAGAATTCTTGCGCCCTTGATCGCTGCGCGGTCGACGAGCACCCAGGTGTCGCGTGACTCCAGTGCCTTGATTTCCGCGTCCATCGCCTCACGCCACTCCTTGCTGTGTGGTCCAGAGAGTGCTTCGCGCGGGTTTCGGGGCTCGATGATGCGTGGTGCCTTCGAGGTTGCGGTGTGAAGCTCGAGCAGCTGCTGTTGAAATGTATTTGTATACATTCATTTAAATGCCTACAGTAGCCTAGTGTAGTTATCTTAGTTTCCTGCTAGGTGGCGTACCATTTGCCTAATTCCTTGCCTATATCTTGTATGCCCTCTACTATTGATCTCCTCTTTTGGCTTGCACTTTTCCTCTCGTCACTCTTGCCTAGGTCAAACCCTAGGCCCCTCGACTATAATGTTTGACATGGTATCAGAGCACGTAACATCCTGGCCTGCTGTTTTTAACTAACCCATGGGCCCACCGCGTATTTCTCGTTTCGTGGCGCCCGTCGCGCCCTTAGTTGTGACTGACGTGACGGGCGCGACGACGAGCTGTCTGCTGAAATGGCGACGAGCTGGGCGGCTCGTGCTGCCCCGTTGCTCCTTCGCCCTGTCACCCGCCCCATCCCGATCTGCCCCGCCCCTCGTCCCGTTACGAGCTGCCACAGCCACACGCAGCCGCGCGCAGCTGCGTACGGCCACGTGAAGCCGCGCACAGCCGCGCGCAGCCACGTATGGCCGCGCGCTACTGCGCAGCCACGTATGGCCGCGCGCTACTGCGCAGCTCCCCTGCCCCGCACCTGCTGCTCGTGCGCCAGCGAAAAGGGGGGGGGGGGGGGGTGTGGGGTTGGCGCGTGTGTGACACAGCTCCTACCGCCGCTGTTCGCCTTTTCCTCCCTCTCACTGCTGCTCGCGCACCCGTGGGGGGAGGGGGAGTGTGAGGGGGTGGCGAGAGAGATTATGCATTGCCAACAGCCGCCCCTCCTCTCTCTCTCACTGCCGCTCGTGCTGCTGTGGGGGGGAGGGTAAGAGAGGGTGGCGGAAGACTGTCCGGAAATTGCAGCTGCAACCCGCTGCTACCGTGGCACATCCTGCTGCCGCCCCTGCCGCCACCTGCCTTTGTTTCTGCTGCCTGCTGCTGGGGCCTGCAGGTGCTGCCGTCGAGCCGCTGCTGTCCTGCTGCACGTTGCAGCCACAGAGCCTGCTCCTCAGGCGACCTGCCGCCCCTACACCTGCTACTGCTTTTGCCTTGGCTGAAGGTGTGCTGCAGCTGTATTTGCCACTAATGCACCGGCTGCCATTGTTATTTCCTGCTGCTGCTTCTTCCACTGCACCTGGTGTACCCTTGCAGGCTTTGTGCTACACATGGGTTTTCACTGTAGGCATTTAGGGGGTGTGTTGAAATATGTATTTGTATACATTCATATAAATGCCTACAGTAGCCTAGTGTAGTTATCTTAGTTTCCTGCTAGGTGGTGTACCATTTGCCTATTTCCTTGCCTATATCTTGTATGCCCTCTATTATTGAACTCCTCTTTTGGCTTGCACTTTTCCTCTCGTCACTCTTGCCTAGGTCAAACCCTAGGCCCCTCAACTATTATGTTTGACAGCTGCAGCCCTGAGATGGTGCTGTCGTGGCGACGTTGCGGGATGACCTCCTGCACATCATCGTCGTCGCTCTCCGGTTCAGGTGCTGGCGGTGTTGCGCCTCTGCCGCTTCCACCTGTTCTGCTTCCGCCTGTTCCGCCTATTCCTCCTCCTGAGGAATCATCGTCGTCGTCGTCGTCGCTGCGCCGGTTTTCCCATGCGAATTCCCCCCTTGTGTCCTGCTCCAAGATTGCTACAGCGGCTTCGTCTTCCGGCGTTGCGTAGCTGTGGCCGTCGTTGGCGTAGACCCGATTCGCATTCGTCTGCTCGTCGCGGCGGAACTGGTCGAGGAAGAGACGCTCGTAGATGATGACGTCGCGAGTGTGAGTGGTTTTTTGACTGAGGAGGTCCAGCACGATCCACGCCTTGTGCTCGTGACTGATGCCGAGGTGGATTCCCCAGCGTGCGCGGCTGGCGAACTTGCCGATGGTTGAGGTCGGCGGGCAGTATTGAACCATGCACCCCCATACCCGGAGCATGGAGGTATCCCCTTTGGTTCTACTCCATTTGACGTGCGGGGACAGGTTCCCGAAGATTGCGGTGGTTGAAAGCAGGTTGTGCACCCGCACGGCGTGGTGCATCGCGTAGGTCCAGTAGATGGGCGGCAATTTCGACTGCTTCATCAGCGCGCGCACCTTCGCCATCAGTGTGCGGTTGGTCCGCTCGGCTGCGCCCTGCTGCTGGAGCGCGTAGGGGAGAGAAATGTGGTGCTCGATCCCCTTCTGTGTCAGGAAAGTCTGCATCTGGTTGCTCCTAAATTCTGCCGCGCCGTCAGATTGCCAAATCTTGAGTTTCTTCCCAGATTGCCTCTCCACATGCGCCAGCCAAAGCCGAAATACTT